AGGAGGGACCGCTCCGCGGCTGCAGTAGGATGCTCGAATATGGGGATTTTTTCATTACAACGGGCCACGTCACAGATTTCTGTTTGTTTGCTTGTTCTGCTTTGCTGGCGCATCTGTAAGACCAAAGAGCGAGTCTTCTCTCGGCCTCAACGCTTCGTTTCAAAGTCGGGCTTTTGCATTTCACAGAGGGCAAAGTCCAAACCCAGCGGATGTTTTCTGAAAGAGACTTTGCTTGGAATCAATACGCAAAAGAGGAAACAAAATGCTTTTTGGGTGCTGCTTTACTCAGTGCGCCTGGGGAGACGCTTTGGAGCTCCCGGCCTTTGGGTGGGGGAGGAGGTTTGCCCAGTTCTACCCTTTCCCTGATAATCACCGACTGGTTTAGGTTGGAAGGGACCTCTGGAGATCATCTAGTCCAACCTCCTCTTTCGCTCCATAATCCTCTTTCCCTGCCAGAGAGAGGGTTTTTGTAACCCCGACCCTTTCGCTGACGGCAAAGCTGCCTCACAGCCCGAGTCGGCAAGTTTGTCACTGGTGACAAGGTTGTCCCCATGTCACAGCTTCCCAGGCAGCAGGATGTCAGGCCAGGTTTAATGACCTCCGGTTTCTGATGCCTTCGAAGATCGCTGCCTCCTCCCTTGGAGCGGCGAGCTGTCGTTCCGCGTGTGGGTGAGCTTGTGCAGGGGCGTGCGTATGACTCCTTATACATCTAAGTGAGCACTTATCTGCAGAGCTGAAGTATCTCGTAGTTATTAACGGACTTTACATCTCACAATGCACTTCCATTTTCTGGAGGTGGGAGGTAGATTAGACAATTTGCCCAGAGTGACATGGGGAAATCAGGAAATGAAATCCTGTCTCCAGAGTCACAGATACTTTTAGGGCCATCTTTTTTACCATGACTAAAGGAGGTCTTGTTTAACTCCTCAGGCGATGAGCAAGGATTAGCGGAAGGATCAGCTTGCCGGGAAAATGTGAGCCACCTGTGGAAAGTATGCCTAAAGTTGTATGCGTAATTAGATTGAATTGCTCTTTTAAACCTCGGTTCACCAGCTCAGCTGGAAAAAAAACCCTCCACCAGCAACAATGCTGTTTCTTGTTGAGCAAAAAGCTTTTGAAGGCTTATTACTTTGAATATTCAGATAAATTCTGAAGTCAAAAGGAATCAGAACACTCTGAATATGTTAAAACACAACATTACAACCTTTTCTGAATCTTTCCTGCGTTGTTTCGGCTCAGTGATGGTAATTGGGTGAATTTGTCAGGAATTCATAAATAGCTTCAATGGCTCTAAACCTGCAAAGAGAGAATTCAAGTGAAAAATTCTCTTGGACCTTTTTGAGGTGGTGGCTGCTGGAGAAAAAGGCTTCTTTCGTATTGTCCAGGTGATGCCACCGTATGGCTATGCGGGAACAACAGGCAGTGCTGAACTCAGGTCTTATTAACCAAGTCAAGTAAGGCCAGGTATAAAAAAAATACCTTGTGCCAGGCTTGACCGTCTCTGCTTCCCCTCTCCCCTGGTCCAGAGCTGGTTTGAGGCAGCGTGTCACGCAGATGTGGTTCTCTTTCTCCACCGCTGCTTGCAAAGGGAGTCGGGTGTGACTTGGGGGCATCAGAGCGAGGGAGGTCCTCAGCTCTCCTCGTTGCCTCCACCCTCTCCTCCGCAAGTTTTTCCCTGCCCAGACACGGCAGGCAGGGTGCAGATTTGACACCCCTGCCACCCAGGTGGGGTAGTCAGCAGTATCCAGCAGGGGAAGAAATCCCTCCAGCAGCAGTGACAGTGTCCTCTGCTGTTAACCTTGAGGGGGGGAGCAAGACCTGGACCTTCCTGGGGCGGGTGGGGGTTATGTTCAAACCAGCACACACGCTGGTTTGCGTTCCCAACCGGTAGCAACGAGGCCAAACTCGCTCTGCTCCTTCGCAGCATCTCTCCTTTCCTCCACCCCCTCCCGTCCTACCGCTTGGCCCTCTTGCCTGCCCGTCTCCCAGCTGCTG